CATATATATATATATATATATATATATATATATATATATATATATATATATATATATACATATATACATATATATATATATATATATATATATATATATATATATATATATATATACATATATATATATATACATATATATATATATATATATATATATATATATATATATATATATATATACACACACACACACAGCGGGGTGGAGTATGAGTATATCTGGATTATGTAATCAGATTCCAAAAATAAAGTATATGTATATATATATATATATATATATATAAACACAATGCATATGTAGAGAGAGAGAATGGCTTAAGTGATACTTTAAGTCATAATTTAGGGGTTCTGGTTTGAGGATAGTCTGTAAATGTAAAACTCAATATAAAAACAATTGCAGTCAATGGAAAATGGCAGAAAATCAAACAATGAAAGTTTTTGCAATAATTATTTTTTAAAGTGTTTTTGAAGAAATCTCTTCTGCTCACCATGGCTGCATGTATTTGATTAAAAATGCAGAAAAAAAATGTAATATTGTGAAATATTATTACAATTTTAAATGGATGTTTTTTTATCTGAATAAATTGTAAAATGTAATTTATTTCTGTGATGCGCAGCTGTATTTTCAGCATCGTTACTCCAGTCTCCAGTGTCACATGATCTTCAGAAATCATTCTAATATTCTGCTTTTCTGCTCAAGAAACATTTCTTAAAAATAAACAAATACTTTTATTCAGCACGGATACATTAAATTGATAGTAAAGACATTTATAATGTTACAAAAGATTTCAAATAAATGCTGTTCTTTTGAACTTTGTTCATCAAAGAATCCTGAAAAATAAAATACATCGCGGTGTCCACGATATTTATTCAGCACGGATACATTAAATTGATAGTGAAGACATTTATAATGTTACAAAAGATTTCAAATAAATGCTGTTCTTTTGAACTTTGTTCATCAAAGAATCCTGAAAAATAAAATACATCGCGGTGTCCACGATATTGTGCAGCACAACTGTTTTCAACATTGATGATAATCAGAAATGTATCTTGAGCAGCAAAGCAGCATATTAGAATAATTCTGAAGATCATGTGACACTGAAGACTGGAGTAATGATGCTGAAAATACAGCTGCGCATCACAGAAATAAATTATATTTTACTATATATTCACATAGAAAACAGCTGTTTTAAATTGTAATAATATTTCACAATTTTTACTGTATTTTTGATCAAATAAATGCAGGCTTGTTGCGCAGAAGAGACTTCTTTCAAAAGCATTTAAAAAGTCATGTTGATTCCCGTCTGTTGTGTGTTTCAGATGTGCAGGCTCTGTGTCCGGCTCTGGATCTGCTGCGCTCTGCTATTCACGACACACACACTGAAGCTCAGAGCCAACAGTTCTGCGATCAGCTGCTGAGCATCACGCTCACCTTCCTCAACACACAAACCAGAGTCCTCCTCACCAGCACACACGGTAAAGCACACAAACACTGCTTTCAATGTGTAGCGGGGCTGCCCTCGACTGAAGAGTTTTCTGGTCGACTAGTAGTCGTTCATTTGAAGCATTAGTCGACTAATCGCACGCTTATTAATAAACCATTTAAATCATTATAATGAGCCTTTAATTGCATGCATAGCCTATAAGCACTCAAGTGCACGGCAGAAGTAATGATTATGAATGTGTCAGGGAAAAACCATAAGGAGACTGCATTAACATTTTAATAATTCACTGATAAACTAGCGCTTTTTGTTTTCGATTTAAGAGATGAAGTCGACGACACGACTCGTCATCTCCTCAGTAGTGAAGCGCCTGTGTGCGTGTTGCACACGGATTACATAATCTGAGAATATTTGTTTTCCATTTCCAAGTAGACATTTCACTCTCTATAGATATGTTTTTCATATCTGTTAGGCAAGCATACACGGAGTTTCGGAGTTTCTCGCTCAAGTTCACAGAGACCGAGACGGCAGAAAGCGCATTTTGCTTTCATTATTTTACAAAAGCACAACATTTTGTTGTTATTGTGAGTGCACACAAATAAATGTAGAGTCTTTACAGATTGGATAGATGAATTACTCCTGTCTGTATGACCCAAAATGAGGGATTATTTTAAGAGTAAGTGAGCGCACTGGCGCCTCCGTCTGTCCTGCAGCGAGCTACTGTTCAGCTCCACTCCGCACAAACGCTTGAATAGCACACATTTCTAGTTAACATTAGATTGAGCGGCCATATAAAGTTGCTAATACTTACATATTTCGGATGATAAGCCATATTTGAGGTTGATGAATGATTGGATGTCTTTCCCGATGTACTGTATTACCACAGACCAGCCGTTAACGCCTTCGACTAATAACATTTTGGTCGAGCAAGCCTCTTCTGTTCGGCTAACGGTTAGTGGCAGCCCTAGTGTATCGAGCTCTTGTTTGGGGATATCAGGCCTCACGTTTGGTCCTGTCGCTGTAGAGCTGGACGTGAACCTGCAGGAGTGTGTGCAGATTTTAGACGGCTACATCTCTGACCTGCGGCGATACATGAAGAAGTTCCCCTGGCCGCATGCCTCTGTGAGTCTGAGCGCTGCTGTGTCCATCGCCGACACGGACCAGGACTGGCCGTCGCTGTCTGATGAGGTCAGTCCGTAAACACACTGGACACCAGCACTGCATCACGGATGTGTTTGTGTTGGACTCGCTTGCTTTCTTTTTTTCTCTTTCTTTCTTTCTTTCTTTCTTTTCTCTTTCTTTCTTTCTTTCTCTTTCTATCTATCTTACTTTCTTTTGCTTTCTTTCACTTTCTTTCTATTTTTTCTTTCTGTCTTTTTTCTTTCGCTTTCTATTTTCTCTTTCTTTCGCTTTCTTTCTATTCTTTTTCTTTCTCTTTCTTTCTTCTTTCTTTCTCTTTTTCTCTTTTTCTTTTTCTTTTCTGTTTTTTCTTTTGCTTTCATTCTTTTTTCTCTTTTTCCTTATTTCTTTCTCTTTCTTCTTTCTTTTTCTTTCTTTGTTTTTTCTTTCTTTCTTTCACTTTCTGTTTCTTTCTTTCGGTTTCGCTTTCTCTTTCTCTTTCTTTCTTTTGCTTTCTCTTTCTTTCTTTCTGTTTCTTTCTTTCTTTCGCTTTCTCTTTCTTTCTTTCTGTTTCTTTCTTTCTTTTGCTTTCTCTTTCTTTCTTTCTGTTTCTTTCTTTCTTTCGCTTTCTCTTTCTTTCTTTCGCTTTCTCTTTCTTTCTTTCTCTCTCTTTCTTTTTCTTTCTTTTTCTTTCTTTCACTTTCTTTCGCTTTTTCTTTCTTTCTTTCTTTCTTTCTGTTTCTTTCTGTCTCTTTTTGTTTCTTTTCTTTCTTTCTTTCACTTTCTGTTTCTTTCTTTCGCTTTCTCTTTCGCTTTCTCTCTTTCTTTTTCTTTCTTTCACTTTCTTTCGCTTTCTTTCTTTCTTTCTTTCTGTCTCTTTTTCTCTCTCTTTCTTTTTTCTTTCTTTCTCTTTCTTTGTCTGGAATTCTGAAAAAAATACTGTATTTAGAATAACTTTTAAAACTAAAATAGGAAGGTTTTCAAATTGTAAAAAAAAAATCAATATACTTTTTTTTTTTGACTCGCTGCAGCTGCTTCAGCCAATTCATTTTCCCCAAAACATTGAAAATAGAGATAGACCTCAATATGGATTAAGATATGTGTCTTTCTTTCTTTCTTTCTTTCTTTCTTTCCTTCCCAGCAGAATCGCAAAGTAGACTTTAAGCAAATCAACGAGTGAATTACCCACTGCTTTAAAACAGATATCCGTTGGACACGATTCAAGTTAAACGCACAAAAGCAGGCACACAAAGATATTTAGTAATGCTCAATCTTACTGAAAATGACCGATTAAGCAGATCATGTTCTGAAATCTATTTCTAGGTTTTGTTCTGTGTGCATTAAATTACATTTGGATGTAAATGGTCCTTTTCCTGACACAAATGTAAAACACTGAGCTGCTACACTGAGCTGCATCTTGCGGATCACTGTCCAGGTCTGGAGACGTCAAGCATTGGCATCTTCATCTGTGCTGCGCATCTCTCTAATTAATTAAGCTACTTCAAAAACAGCGATTTTACACCTCGTTGCTGAGGAATATAATGTAGCGATCTAGTATGTAGGCTATTTTATTAATAAAAATTGCGGGGGAAGTGTTGACAACAAGTTTATGTGCGATCTCCGACTCTCTCCATCTCTCCCCCTATCTCTCTCTCTCTCTCTCTGTGTGTGTGTGTGTGTGTGTGTGTGTGTGCATCAATTAAAGCAGCGCATTAATATAGAACAGTGATTAAACTGACTTGGAACTACCTGTGCATTAAACGGTTTTACTGTATACCTGCGAGCCAATCAGAATCCAGTATTCAGACAGACCATGGCATAAATACTAATATACAGTATATAAAAAAAATCAATTTATATATGTCATAAAATAGATATGAATGCAAATTATAATGCACATGCACATTGTAGTTTTGTTGTGTGTGTGTGTGTGTGTTTCAGGAAGTTGTTCAGCACGCTATATTGAGCAGACGGATCCCACATGCGCAGGCTTTCCTGCGCAGACGCGGCTGTGTTGAATGCAGTCTGGAGGACATCAGGAAGACGGGACTGAGACGCACCTTCATCTGTCTCACTCACAGAGACCTGCCGCAGGCCAAAACACTGCTGACTCACATGGTACACACTCCAGATTAGCACACAAACATCTCCGTCTCACAATATTACGTTTGTGTCCTAAGAAGTCTCTTCTGCTCATCAAGGCTTCTGTAAAGATATGAAATATTATTCCAATTTTACAATTTATTCCTGTGATCAAAGCTGAATTTTCAGCATCATTACGCCAGTCTTCAATGTCATACTATCCTAATATGCATTTTTTTGCTGCTCAAGAAACATTTCTGATTATTATCTGATTATGCTGCCCAGTATTTTTGTAGAAACGTGATGCATTTTATTTGACATGATTCACAGATGAATAGAAAGTTCAAAAGAACAGCATTTAAAAAAAAAAAAAAAAAGAATTCTTTTGTGACATTGTAAATGTCTTCCCTCGCACTTTTGATCACTCCTTGATTATTAAAAGTATTAAAACATTTTTTTAATGCTGTCTCTGTTTTTAGGGCTTCAATGTGAAGGAGCAGCTCCACAGCATCTGCGTTTTCACCGCCGATCGGGATCTAAGGGCCTTCATGGTGAAAATAAACCCTTAAAGAGACAAATATGTTTTGTTTTAAGGATTGATTGCTTAGTTTTTACAAACTAGACTCCCACTGGTTGAATTAGTTTTGTGTGATCACCAGTGTCATTTCAAGGGTTAATTTAGCTGGTTTATGGCTCTGCTTTGCTGGCGTTTCCAGGTGGAGGAGCTGCAGAAGCAGAATTACCTCTCGTGTGAAGAGCTACAGCAGGTGGAGTTTATTCAGACCATTAATAACTTGTGCTCGACACCTGCGACGAGATGCTCGAACCGTCTGGACACCAGCAGGCGAGTGTTTCTCTCGGATTGTCTTCTTCAAATGTTGTTTCTCATCTATTATTGATGCAACAGTACAGTAAATGATGTTTGGAAGAGAGCTGGTCAGGACTAGGCGATGTTGGGAGCAGTGTTAATTTCGTTGACGAATAGTTTTCATCAACAAGACGATAACAATCTAAAACTCGTTTTGAAAAACTATGATGAAAATCTATTGACGTTTTCGTCACCGAATAAACACAATTTGGTCTTACTGTTCACGTAAACGCAGTCGATTATGTCTTAAGTATTTGTTAAAAGCACTATATAAGTAAAGGTGACTTGACTTGAACATAAACAGTAAGAGAATATAGGACGTGTATTAATACATTGCATCCGTGCATTCGGTTTTAAAGGGACAGCAGCCTAATTTAGTTGCTATTGTCCGAGTCACTGATGTTAATCAAGCAACAAAAGAAAGACAGAAAATCACTCACTGTTCTTGACTGAATCACTTTAGTAGCCCTAATAAAGATTAATCTAAATGTATTTATAGAAATAAATATGTCTGCTTGAAAGAATGAAGAATATGGTTATACAAGTTATACTTATATAATGCATAATTAGCCTATATAACCATTGATATTTCTTTGAAAAGAAGACCATGTTCTTGTTCTTTATGAGAAGGGGTTTTATTTAATTTGAATATAAAGGCGTGTTGTGTGTCACCGAAGTTAAATCGGTGTCTATCATGATAAAACCTTAATATCTAACCTATATAATGAGTTTGGGAATTTTAAAGAAATGCTTAATAAATGCACTGTAACTAAACCCATTAGATTTTAGCCGACTAAATTAACTGTAATAAACTAAAGCAATTCAGATGACTAAAATATGACTAAAACTAAATGGCATTTTAGTCGAAAGACTCTGACTAAAACAAAATCAAAATTTGTGATCAAAATGAACACTGGTTGCGAGCTGGACTCGAGCCCTGGTTTATGGGGCGTGGCAGGTGAATGAGAGGTGTGTGGGATCTTGTGTCCAGGGTTCTTCAGATGAGCCGGTCTGATCCCGAGAGCAGGCGTCTGCTGCAGGAGATCACGCAGGAACCGGACTCGTCCTCCTGCAGCTCTCTGCTGGATCCTGTGCGTCTGGACTGGGTCAGATACTGGGACAGAGACACGCAGAGCTCCATCCTTCTGTCCCGACTGCAGCCGCCTGGTCAGTTCATCACAGCTCAACACTTCAAGAGTCACGCAAGCAGTGTGGGGGAATAAAGCAATAAGCCCTGAGAAGCCGTAGTTTACAGTGAAATTATAACAGCTAAGGGGCGTTGTTAGAGTGCCTAAAACCCACTTAGCTGTTATAAATGCACTGTAAACCACAGCTTCACGGGGCTTATTGCTTTTATAAAACGGTTATTCCATATACGTAGTAAGGTTTCACAAAATAAAACAGAGCAAATAAAGTGTAATGATATTAATAAACACAGTGTTCTTCCACCAAACAATGTAGCTCCTCAGAAACAGTTGTGGTTGCTACAAAGTGGTTGACGAGCAACACACAGACGTAAACAAAGGTGTGTGTTACTTTGTAGCGTCATTTACAACAGCTTCGAACGCGGCTCAGCCAATCAGAATCAAAGACCGGAACTATGCGTTTTATAAAGTTACTTTTAAAAGTAATGCATCACGATAGTGAGTTACTCCCTAAAAAAGTAACTAATTGCATTACTTACAGTGTTGGGGAATTGTGTTTGATGTGGTGCTGTATGGTAAGGATGTGTTTAATATGGTGATGTATGGTAAGGATATGTTTGTTGTGTTTGATATGGTGCTGTATGGTAAAGATGTTTAATATGGTGATGTATGGTAAGGATGTGTTTGTTGCGGTGCTGTATGTTTAATATGATGTATGGTAAGGTTGTGTTTGATATGGTGCTGTATGGTAAAGATGTTTAATATGGTGCTGTATGGTAAGGATGTGTTTGATATGGTGCTGTATGTTTAATATGGTGATGTATGGTAAGGATGTGTTTGTTGTGTTTGATATGGTGCTGTATGGTAAGGATGTGTTTGTTGTTGTGCTGTAGCTCAGGGTTCGTGGGATGCCGCTGTTCTGTGGTCGTATCTCACCTCTCTGCACGATGGTGTCCGAGCCTCGGCATGGGTTTGCAGCTCAACCGCAGCTGACGTCCCCCGCTGGCCTGCGCTCGCGCCGCACGTCATCAACCACAGCAGCCGCTGCGGACAGTACCTGCGTGATCAGATCCTGGACCTGCTCGCCCGGTCAGAGCCGCTCACATTCTCACCAAATACAAACACATCCAGAGGAGACTGGAAGCATGTTTAGTGTGTGTGACCCTGGACCACAAAACCAGTCACAAGGGTCAATTACTCGAAATTGAGATTTATGCATCATCTGAAAGTTGAATAAATAAGCTTTCCATTGATGTATGGTTTGTTAGGATAGGATAATATTTGGCTGAGATACAACTATTTGAAAATCTGGAATCTGAGAGTGCAAAAAAATCTAAATATTGAGAAAATCATCTTTAAAGTTGTCCAAATGAAGTTCTTAGCAATGCATATTACTAATCAAAAATTAAGTTTTGATGTATTTATGGTAGGACATTTTCAAAATATCTTCATGGAACATGATATTTACTTTAATATCCTAATGATTTTTGGCATAAAACAAAAATCAATAATTTTGACTCATACAATGTATTGTTGGCTATTGCTACAAATATACCTTATGACTGCTTTTGTGCTCCAGGGTCACAACTGACTAGGGCTGCGACGATAAATCGATTCTGAGATCTTCCGAATGCATCGCGATTCTCTCTGAAATTGATTCTAAACTTCTTTTTTTTTTACAGCAGATGACGCTCTACTTATACCCCAGCGACTTATGACTGCTTTTGTGCTCCAGGGTCACAACTGACTAGGGCTGTGACGATAAATCGATTCTGTGATCTTCCGATTGCATCGCGATTCTCTCTGAAATCGATTCTAAACTTCTTTTTTTTTTACAGCAGATGACGCTCTACTCTAGTTTTTATCCGCTCACTCAAATGCTCACGAAGAAGAGCGTTCGGCTGAGTCTGTAATTTCACCTCGGCTCAGAATGCTTTTATGATGCTAAACACAGCCCACTGTGAACACCCTAATAATTCGATTCAACCTTTTCGAATTTTATGAACGATTATTTTAGGTTCAAGTGCGTGTGTAAGGATTTGGAAATGAGCAGAATATGTCTGTTTCTAAAGCATGCAGTGTTCAAAACTAAGCTAAGAATCGACTAGAGAGAATCGCGATGCATTGGGAGAATCTCAGAATCGATGCTGAATCAGTTCTCGATTCGCGATGCATCGATTTATTTGAGCTCAAAGCACTGATGTTAGTCTGTTTGTGTTCAGACAGGGCCTGTTTGTGCAGTCGGAGATGGAGGACTTCCAGCAGTTGCTATGGCGACTGGGTCAAGCCGGAGGAGTGATGCATCATGGGAAGGGTCCTCCTGTCCCACAGGAGTTTCACCAGCGCTTCGTCCTGCACTGTCTGGAGAACAGCCTGCAGTACCTGCTCTACTGCTACCTGGAGCACTACAGGTGAGACGCTATATGGCCAAAAAGTTATCACCATACTGTTTTTTTTCATATCAGTTGATATCGATAATTATCGCGATAAATGTCAAATCTTTATTTATTTCAAGTTTAAAGCCAGATTTTTGCTCCAAAGTGAAAGCTTGTTGAAACCAGACAAAATAAATATCTTAACCGAAAAATGTATTTCTTAGTTTCTGCACGTTCTAATGAGTGACATTGTTTCAAATCAAGAAACCGGTTTGGGTTGCCTGATAATATTAATAATAATATCACTTTTTGTCTCTTACAAATGCAGATTCGATAGTAGCTTGAGTTAGGATGCAGATGTACATTTTTGTTCAATATCAAAATCAGTAACATCTGTAAAAATTGTAGCAACCTCATTTTTATATGGTTAAATTTAATTATTTTTATTTATTTATTTTTTATTATTAATCATTGGTCTCCGATAGTAGCATACATTTAAATCATGATAATCACAGTTAAAACCACACATAGCACCTCAATACAATAATTCAGTAAAAATATAACTATATTGTAATATTATTTATATATTAGTAAATGAACTGTGAACTAACAAACATCATCATTTTTATTAACTTGTATGTGTGTAAATACTTATACTAAAATGTTTAATTATTTGTTTATTTAATCATTTTTGTTTTAGCTTTATTTAGTTATTTAATAAAAAAATTGAATGTTTATATTTATAATATTTTTTATGAAGCTCTTTTCCCTATAAAATTGATTTTGTATATTGTATTATATTTATATAATATATTAAATTAAAATTAAAATGTATATTATTGTTATTATTCATACATTTTTATGAAGCTCTTTTCCAGAGACACCGTGTATATAAATATTTCTTTTTCATTTCTTCTATATTTTATATGTAATATAATTATTTTTATTTACTTATTTCTGTTTATTTTTATTATATATATATATATATATATATATAAAATTATTTATATTATTATTATTAATTTTTATAAAAAAAATTCCAGAAATACAGTGTACATAATTATTTTTAATTTCTTATTTTATTTGTAATGTATGTGTTTTATTTCATTATTTTTGTTTATTTAATCTTTATAATTGAATAATTTTTAATTCATATTATTATGATTCATAATTTTGTTTATGAAACTCTTTTCCATTTAATTTTTTAATTTGTATAACTATTTATAAATGATTTATGAAGCTCTTTTCTGTGAGATGTTTTTCAGCAGGACATTCAGGACTCGTCTCGTCTCATTGTGGATGTGTTTTTCAGGTTAACTCCCGGGAATTGCCCGCTTCTGACCGACAGAAACCTGTTTGAGAGCTTCCCCTGGTTTGAGATGATGCTGAAATTACAGAAAATCACCAGAGACCTTAAAGGTGAGCGTATTTTTAAATAGTTTTTATTTTAAATAGGAAATAGTTTTCTAAAACCATAGAACAGCTGTCCGTCAGTTTATCTCAATACATTTGAAAGATTTTGGGACAGTATCTTAGGTATATAAACTGATGCTTTTAATTTCTCAGTGGAAAATAATTAATTCTTGAAATTAATTTCTTGAAAAATAACCAAATATTTATAGCATTAAAATATAAAAATAAATATAAGCATTTATGTAAAATTAAATGGAAGTAATATAT